CTTGATGGTTATCATTAGTCCATTAGTTGACTTCAGGCTTTGTAGAGAGGAGGAATATCAAATTGAAAAAAGTCGAGAGTGGGGTGGGGGGTTAGGAGAGTGTTTCAAAGATGTAAAAGAGGCAGACACAAAGGTAGAAAAAAGGTGATGTGAGTACTGTGACATAAAGTGAGGTGATGGAAGTTTGAAGTCAGAAACCAACTGCCGATTGAAAGACTTTTTTGCCGTATGATTATACGTTGCCCAAGGTGTACCACGTGGAGGTAAGTCTATCGTGCACCACAAATCGGAGTAGTCTTGCCTAATAATCAGTTCCATGCTAATGTATTTTATTTATACACTTAAATAATTGTACACAGATTGGTCGATTAAATAGCGGCGCACTGGACAGATGAGAGTTAACTCCCTCAGATCGTGACCTGACGTAGTTTTGACGCGTTAAGGGCGTGACGATGTCTCTTGGGTTCACTTCAAGCTTAAAAAACCTAACACTTTAAATGAAAAAAAACATCACATTAAATTTCTAAAAAAGCTATTTTTATAGTCGAATTGAATGGCAACGTGGAAAGGGTGTTGAAATGCAGAAAACGAGACATTTTTTCCTTAAAATAAACAAGCTTCCATCTATTAATTTTCAAACTAGAAAATAAAAGAACTTGTAAAAATCTATCTATCCTATGTCGAATCCAGATGACTGCAAAACAGTCTTGTTGGTAAAGCTTACAGTTCAATTCGAACTATATGGGCAACCTTTCACCAAATAATTCAGAGAGAATTAATGCTGTTTAGACAAAAAGGGTATTCCGAGTAGTCCTGAGATGGTTGGAACATTGATTTTTTTATTTTTAACCGCTCTAAATATCCATACCAACTTCCTGACTTTTCCATCACTTGAGATATCGTTTTGGCAAAGTCCAACCGATTTTGCAAATTAGTAGAATTTGGATCTGTTTTCTGGTAGTATTGAAATTCACCAATTCGCAGAACTAGAGGGTTTTTCAGCAGATGGCTCATTCTAGGAAATGTCCAATGTGTTCCAGTTTTCATTTTCATGGAGTTCAGCATTCGTAGCTTTATGCGACTTGCTTGGTCTTTCTTCAGCTAGGTTCAAATTCTTCAATATTTATCAATCCAAGGCTTTTTGTAACGGTTCTTCGTCGCCTCTTACTTTTTGCCAGTTCTCGAATTCTCGTTTTTATAACGAAGATATTAGAGTTCTTCGTAAACTATCTGCAATACATACTAACTCCATTTGATAAGGACTGTGGGTAGCTTTAAATTTCTAGCTTTGGCGATTTATTCAGTGTCTGTAGGTAAATCTTAGTTAAATATCGAACTATCCTACGCACTTCTCCCCAATTTTAGCTTTATATGAACTTAGCATTTAATCAGCTGATTATTTCTGTCTTATGCGCACATTCAAAAACATTCTTCCTCCTTTTTGCATTCAATGTCCTCTAATTAGTCAAGACTTAATCACTTTTTTATACCGCCATTTAGGAGTCTTTTATGTCAGAGCCCTTAGTTTTTTTCATTTCCTATTCCGAAGAACCACTGTTTCTCCGCATTTTTTTTCAATTTAATTAATTAAATTAATTTAATTTACTTTAACTTGGATTCGTCAGTGCCTGTCTGGTTCGATGCTCATCTTTACCCATTCATTGTACGATAAACGCATTTATCCAACACTCATCTTGTTATGGCATATGGAATCATGGATTTTTCCGATTTGAAACTCAAGGAGGACTGCCACCTCCGTTATAGACCAGACTTAACCAGTGCGGTTGGCCTTTGCTCATTGGCTATTCACCGGTGAGCACCGAATTTCCTCCCTCTTACTCCGCATTCAGTAGGCACTTTATCTACTGTGCCACCTGTTCAAGAGGGTGCGTTTTGTCGAAATATCGATCTAAAAATCCACCGTTGATGGAATGAGCTAAACCATGAATCATAGTGGTTAAAATAGCCAAGATATATACGTGCATTAATGTGAATTTTTCTACAATGGGTCCTCAGAATACAATTGCCCAACCTAAGGCAACTTTCGAAAATCCTTCCGTTCAATTTTTTTTCAAAGTTCTATCATTTTGCTGCTCAACTGGAAATGAAACTTCCGAGATGTGCACTGCAAGTTATTTTTCCATATTACTATGCCTTTCAAACGAAATCAGCGCTTCATGAACTTCTAAAAGTTCTCGCTTTCAATCATAAACTAACAGATGCAAATTTTTTTATTTTTAGTGGCCCGTCAAAGTTTACTTCATAATCTTTTTTTGCCGTTTGCTACTTTAAAGTGCAGTGGTATTTTGCTTCATACTTAACAGCTTACATGTTGGCATTAATAATCTAAAAATTTTCGATTCTTCTATCTCCAATAAAATTTCATTTGTTGCAATTGTTAATTCATTTATTTTGTGCTTTTTCCTCATTTGCATTTGCATTTTGACATCGAAATTTTGCATAATTTTCGATGATCTAGAGGAAGTGGGTCAATTTGGACTTAATTTAGCTCTTTCAATCCAACTAACTCCGTATTATCGGTTCAGAAATGATGATCAATTGACAAAAGGTGAACTGTGATTAAGGCCTGATCGATAACAAGTGCAACTGATGGCGCGGGGGGGGGGGGGTTTTATCGATTCTGGCAAATGACCAACAGCTTCAATTTCTTTTCATCTAATGTATTTTATTCGCCTTTTCCTTTATTCCTGATTTGCAATCATTTCCACCTTTTGACGAAAATTGTTTTCTTTTGCATTTACCTCGTCAAAGGAAAAATGTTAACCCCAGGAGGCTTATATCTTGAAGTTGTCATAGTATCATGGTTGAATAGTTAATAAACCTGTTCTGTTTTGGAACTTTCTGAAATTGTTTCCAAATACTTTTTTTCTAATTATGTTCCTTAACTCCTCTTAGTATCCAAATTCAGCCTTACCGGAAGTAGTTGCTGCTACGAAAAACTCTAAAAGACATGTTGTTCTTTTTGGGGTTCTGCTTTTTGTTCTCTTTTATGTAATAGTGGATGTTTCTACTTCCTTCATTTATTAATGGATAGGTTTATTCGTTCAAAATTAATTTTCTCCTAAAGAATTTGTTTTAAAGTGAAATTCGATAAAACTTTCTTGGGTATATTATCAGAGTTTGTGGATCTCCATTTCTGTCTAGCTGTTTACTTCTGATCTGTTTGATCAGCAACGATAAGTTCAAATAAGCTACAAGACTCCGAACTCATGTTCTAGCCCCTCTACTTCGCAACTATGGACAAATTCGACCCTGTAATTTTTCATGCTCTGCAACTGACCTATTGAAATGGACAGAATCACAGCGGCGACGGGCGCAGACAGTTCACAAGTTTTGGCTGCCTCCACCAGTTGAGATCGAAGGCATCACATGGGCTACGCCTCTTTGGGTTACCAACCGTCTGTAGACTTTTTTATAATCACTCCCCTTTTTCCCATGTTGGTTGGGGATCATTCCACGGTAGATTCCTTCACCAGTCATCAATTTTATCTCATTCACCCTAACTAGTTAACTTGCATTAAGTTAGCCACTCGGGGGATAGTGCTATACATGATAGATATTGGCTTTCACACGATGTGCGCACTCCAAATAATGCGCATTTCCTTTTAAAATAATTTTTGGCTCTTCCTTTTTTTCATGAAAGTCTTCCGATTCACCGAATTTGAAAGTGCCTTTCTTTCCTCTCTCTCATCACTTCACCTCAAATTTGATGAAAATTATAGCAGTTGACTAGATTTAAATAAGTATTCTCTCTGGGTTGTGGTGTTTTATTCCACCATAAGGAGGCTTTTATTCCTACTGCCTTGCCTACTTAGATTCTCCTGCAAGTGTTAACCTGTTGGCTGAATATTTTATGCAATAGTACTCTTAATAGTGCATTCTAATTCATTGTAATGGTCCTAGAAATTTCAGAATTTGATCGGCCCATTTTTCTTATCCTTTTTCAGGAAATCACTTCGTGTCACCTCCGGCCTTCAACGTCACTGGCTAGACGAATCAGGTCAATCCGACTCTAAAATCAACTCTAGTAGTGCCGATTCAACACAATCCCTAGACGCTCCCAATGGAGCTGAAAGTGGCGGTGTTAGACAGCGTGCTCTCTCTGATCCTCGCGCTCCTGGTCTGTCATTATTTTTCCAACAGACCCCGTCAAATCCCCAGACGTCCGTACAACAACGTGACCAGCCACCCAGTACCCCCTCTGTTCGTCATTCGGTGGCCTTCTTTGACACCCCCGCAACTCCTCGTCTAGCTATCCCACCTTCCACCCCTTTGCTCTCGGCAACACCAGTTTCGATTAAGGACAAGAATCGGGCCATATTTGATCTACCTCTTAGTAAGTCATTTAACGGGCATTTCTCAGGACTGAGTTTAGTTGGCGAGCCTATTTTCACTAACTACCTCTTATTCTTTCGTAGTTGTAAGAACTGCTCCCTGAATGATCTATTTAATGAAAAATATCTTTCTTTAAGAAGCTCCTTTTATCCACTAGAATAAGTTAGAAGTGTTCAATTGGGACTATTTTGTGGGATCAATTTTCCCTAGTAGGGGGTGTGCAATAGACTTACCTCCACGTGGTGCACCCT